CATTTCTGAAGATGTTTGTACCTGATGGTTAGGAGTTCCAGGGTCCCTTGCAGAAACTATCTCAACAATGCTTTTTCTGACACTCAAAAACATGAAACCCTGTAAATTACCGTATAAAACCACCCCCGGAACTGAACCCGAGGGAAGTTTAGGGTTTAGGGTTTAAGGCTTAGGGTTTAGGGCTTAGGTCAGGGATTTAGGGCACTCAAGTTTAGGGTTTCGGGCTATATTATCCAATTAAATACTATATATATATATATGTACCCCTTCTTAATTACTATACCCATTATGGTAACTTAAGTTAAATTCCTTAACGGCAACCCAGCAGCGCCAGGAAGGGGCTCCGGGTATGAAGCGTTGCGTAGAGAAGGACAAAGCAGTAGGACATTATAGCCTGGGATTTGGGTTTTAGGATGTAGGGGTTAGGGTTTAGGGGCTCACGGAAGCACGCGAAGAAGCCGGGGCGTGCTTTGGTACTTTCCATGCTCTCCTTCATTCATTCATACTGCAAAAGAAAATGAAAACACCTAGGTTTGCCCAGGCGAGCGTCGAACATGGCATCATTGGCCACGGCGGCAAAGGTTTCGTATGAGGACACTCCGTCTCCCTGAAAGAAGACTCGGAAAGTGCCTCCCCTTGAGTTCGTGCGCGTGAGGAACTCCACCAACTCGGAAACCTTTGCTTCGCAAGAACAACATGACAGTATTGGGGTTTATTGGGGTTTATTGGGGTTTATCTAGGGATCATGGAAAAAGATAATGGAAACTACTATAATGTAGCAGGGTATATTCTCTTTTCGGGTATTACGGGAAGATAATGAGATCAAGCCATCTGAAAGACCTGTGCCAGATGAATGGCGTGTTCACGAACGAACCTGGATGATCGACCGCGCACCTCATAGTCATATGCTACCCTAAACCCTGAACCCTAAAGCTATAGTCGAGAACTCCTAGTATCCCCCGTAATTGCCCTTATAGGAGTGCTCTATATGATCCCCTTTAAGGAGTTTAGATTATAGCTCATGTACTTCCCAAAAACCTGCTCAACAGCTCCTTCTGTTCCCCCAGAACAAGCCCAATTCGCGAAAAAAGGACCCCAAGTGGTCTGCATTGAGGCTGGCCCAAAGGGCTAAACCCTAAACTCTAAACCCCAAACCCTAGATCCTAAACCCTAAACCCCCCAACTCTAGATCCTAAACCCTAAACCCCCCAAGCTCAAGGGACTAAGGTATTCCAGATGGCATCCATCTCCGCCACGATAGCTCCCTGTCCGGATTGGCCTGAAGCGAGTCTATGGGAGTATATAATGGTAGATTATGGTATATTTTAGTATAATGTAATATATTCTGGTAGTTTTTAATATACTATAGTATATTATGGTGGATTTTAATATCTTATAGTATATTATGGTATATTATAATATGTCATAATATATTATGGGATATTATGGTATATGGTATATTATGGTATGTTATAGATTTGATGTGGTTTAGGGTTTAGGGTATAAGTTTTAAGGATTTAGGGTTTAGGGTATAGGGCTCAGGGAATCTACAGGATAAGCTACATGGGAACTACGATGTGTGTTTTGAAGATCTTTCCTTATTTGTAAGGGCAGAAAGCTTCCCCTTTCTTTTCATGGTTCGACCGCTCCGTCTGCTCACTTGCTGAAAGTGATCACTCGAAGGTTATCAGTAGTCTCCCCACCGTAGTGCCATCCGATGCTGCCAGCGGCATGATGCTGCAGGCTCATACATGCTCATACAGCGGATAGCTCTCAAAGTACCTGTAGAGTCCCGCAATCCCCTTACTCCTTGTAGCTGTACATTGTCCTGATTCTCCCGCTGGACAATTTTGTGGTAGGTGTTGCAAGTGTACCCAGCCTGCTGTACAGCAGTAGGCTTGTAGCGCAAAGTATGAGCGAATCGCCACGATCTCCTGACCTGGCAGATGCAAGCAACATATCCCTCAATCAAGCCTGGAAGTGCTAACATGGAACTAGTACAGAGTCCGACATATACGAGGATATAAGGATTTCATGCCCAAACCCTAGAGTCCCCCTTAAGTAGATAGAATATGGGGTATGGGGATCTTATTATAATATACAAAAGTCATATCTTATCTACTTAAGGGGGGGACTAAAACCCTAAACCCTAAATAGTAATTTCGATTTTCTTGTCCATTATCCCTATAATCCCCACATTCTATATGGGTATATGGGGATCTTAAATGGCACTATAGACCCCACTGGCCCCAGTAAAACCCTTACAGAACCAGCCCTTGCACTACTTAGGACACCCCATGCCAGTGCGCCTTCCTCCGCGTCCGTGGCATCCTGTGCCAACAGAAAACACAGTATATGGTGGTAATATTGGGATAATGGAAAAAACTACTATAATGAAAGGGGTTATAGGGGTTTAGGGGTCTAGGTATGGGGGGAATATTGGGGTTATATTGGGGTTTTATAGGGTTTAGGGTTTAGGGTTTAAGGGTTTAGGGGTATATGGGGGTAATATTGGGATAGTGGAAAAGAAAATGGAAACTACTATAATGAAAGGGGTTATAGGGGTTTAGGGGTCTAGGTATGGGGGAAATATTGGGGTTATGTTGGGTTTTATAAGGTTTAAGGCTTAGGGTTTTAGGGTTTAAGGGTTTAGGGTTATATGAGGGTAATATTGGGGTTTTATAGAGGCTATATATGGGTTATACACGGGTTATAAATTGGGCTTTGTTGGGGTTATTGTAAGGGTATACGGGGGCAATATTGGGAGAATGGAAATTACTGTAGTATAGGGTTTAGGGTTTAGGGTTAGGGTTGGGGTTGTATATTGGGATAATGGAAAAGAACATGGAAACGACTATTTAGGGCTTCTTATAGTCCAGGGTCATATAGAGGGTTACCGTCCTCCAGGACAGAGCTTTTCAAAGGTTGACAGTTATCAGTTCCTCTCAGAGCTGTCATATTTCGACTCTCGGCTCTTCCTACAGTACACTGTGGGCATCCCTTATGCCTTTCGATTCAGCAGAGCTGCTTCCCAATCCTCAACCTCCAAAACCCTAAATCTCCAACACCCTCAACCCTAAACCCTAAACCCTAAACTCCAAAACCGAAACCTTGGAGCCCGAATCCCTAAGGCCTTAAGCCCTGTGGGGGCTACAGGTAATCCCCAGGACATCTAGCTCTTGCATCAAAATACTACAATCCTCATAATGAAGACACCCCAAAATTAAACGGTACCCCTAGTTTTGGGAAACCCTAAACCCTAAATAGTAGTTTCAATTCTCTTTTCCATTATCCCCATATAACCCCCTGTATAACCCCTATAAACCCCAAACTTAGTTCTGGGAAACCCTCACATGTTTTCGAGCGCGGTGGCCTCGCTGGGCACCGTGTCGCAAACGCCACATGTCGCCTTGCAGAAGTCCTGCCACATCTTGCAGTATTGGTACCCATATTCTACTTGTCCCCTAGTACTAGGGTTTAGGGTTTAGGGGCTTTAGGGTCCCTAAACCCTGAACCCTAAACCCTAAACCAGATATCATGCTACACTTGCTCTATGACACAAACAGAGGCTTCTCCTGCATGTAGGCTTCGTGGGCGGCACCTGCACAGCGGCACGTTCAAGTCTATCGGGTTTAGGGTTTAGGGTTTAGGGCTTTCCCCCAAGCCGGAAGCCTTAGCCACGTACTCATAGAGGGATACTGGCTGCAAACATAAATTAAATCTCAAACTTAAGTCCATAAACCTGATCCCAACCGTTTTTAAGGTTTAAGGGTTTAGGGTCTACGGGTTTAGGGTTCAAGGGCTTTGGTAAACTTCAGATCCTTGATCTTTCCACCCTAAACCCTAAACC